ACATGTTTGCGATTATTTATATAACATACGTCATATATGCTCTTATCTTCACTAACAATTTTTCTCATTAAAAGACAGGCTTGCTGTAGCTAATTTGGATCAAGATTTAATATTTACTTAACATACACCATTTCTTACTAATACCAATGTCCCACTCCCATGAAATCTATGAAGTTTGTATGGCAACACACGATATTTTCTGTAAAATATAATGATCGATCATTAAATTGCCTCCCATGATTAGCACAATCGCATATGCTATGCTAAAATTGGACTCACTTCAGACATGTTTCTAATAGATTATACCTAATAGATTAAATATAGAAAGTAGGAATGAATTTCAATGTTTCTACGATGTCAGGTCACGTTATTATAGATTCCGGGAGCTATGGAACCCAGATCTATAGAACATAGTAATATTTCTGAAAATCGTATGATGCAACATGTCAAATCATGCCAATTAGGTAGAATCAAACAAATGAAGACCATTTGAGGTATATCCGGTGGAAATTCGGTTCCATGAATTGCAATATAGGGTTTGTTATAACATTATGACGTTCAAAATAACTATATAGTAGAGCATATCAAATCTATAGTTCTATAGGCCATCGTTATATTCGAGGCAAATAAATCATGCTGCATGTCAAACCATAGCAGTATAATAAGTGAGGTCAATGAAGCCTATTTTAGGTGATTCCTTTGACATTAGTCCACATTGGCATCGGTTCCGGGGCTCCGGAATCCAATTTCGTGAATCCCGGGCTACGGTACGGTTGGCTATACCATAGTAGCACACTTGTCACAAATCAATTGTAGAAACTTATATACGACTTATTTCAATCATAAACAAGTTGCTGTAACTTATTGTGATGAAAGTGTGCTACTCGGGTAATAATATTGGAGAAAACCATAAAACGCAGGACTTCAATTCATAATAAAATGTGAATATCAGGTCAATGAAAACAGATCGAAATGTATTCGATGACATATGACCACATTGGAATCGGTTCTAATGGTCCCAGAATCTGGTTCTATAGGCCATCGTAATATTCAAGGCAAAATAGTCATGTCAAATCATTTCAAACTGGCAAGGTAAGATCATTGCAATCATATTTCATCTATTAGGTATTATTCAATGCACCAGATAAGCCACTCGTCAGACAACGAGTAACATTTGGTCATTCTTGAGGAAAAAACCGCAATAAAACATATACATATTTGCATCTTTCATATGCGAAGAGGGACAACCTACGTCAAAAGGAAGATCCACTATTCCCCTTTAATAAAAATCCAAGTTTATGAAAATCGGTTGTGACATTACTGAGAACGAGCATTTTGAAAAAAATAAATCTCGTCCTGGTACTTTAAGGGTTAATCAAATCACTCCACCAAAAAGGCTCAGATAATATACATTTGGGATAGAACCCAGGCTTGCTGGGTTGAGAGGTAATCACGCTTACCACTACACCACCAAGAATTGTTTTATCTAGATAAAAATAATTTGCCCGGAATAGACGAGACACGAAGCAACATGTATTGTACATTTCCAATTTCCTTTCTGAAGATGATTTCATGGACTTTTGTTAATGTTTAAATCATTAAGGATTGAACAAAAAAGTTCACTGTTTGGCAAATAAATCCACTGCAATCAGTAATATGATCTATTGGCGATATAGTTTAGAGTTAATCACAGGTATACCTCGATATAACGTAACTGTCACTTTTCTCTTCCATCGTCGATTTCTCACAAGCAACAATTGGGTTCTTTACCCTTAGAGGTAAACGCATATTCGTAATCTGCATTAACAATGGAACTCAATCCCAAAATTTCATAAATTTTGGTACAATGGAACTATTTTAAATAAGTACGATTACATTTGCAAAAATCACCTTATTAGCGTCCCTCGGTGTCACTTTGTATGGGAGCGAGCTGTCAGTTTTCCAGTTTAGTTTTGTCACTGTGCTCAGAAAACGAAGCTCTTTCAGAAGATATATAAAAACCGAGAAATTTTTCAAAATTAAAGAACCCAATTCAATCACGCAAAGTAACAATACTATCGGACAGGTGAGACAATCCCCTATCAAATCGCAATGTTTATTTTGTTTGACGGTTGTTGTTTGAGAAATCGACAATAAACTCAAAAGTGACAGTTACGTTCGAGGTATACCTGTATTGAGATCAGCGAATCCAAACACATAAAGCAACCAACGATACAGACAAAACGGTTGCTACGACTACCATGACAAACTCGCTCTATAACATAGCTCGATCCGAGTGGTAAAAGGATAATGATATATTGCTTGCCTGCTTTGTTGCAATATACACGGATGAGGACATAGCTTGATATGAATCGAGAAAAGACATAACAAAAAAATTCCCATTAACACACGTGTATCATCTTCGGGTTTACTTCGTGAAGCAGCTTGCCAACAATTTACTCGTTTCCTTCTACCGCCCCGAGTGAGTAGTGTCGCACGGGCTGCTTGTCATGAAAAAGAACGAAGAAGATTATATCATTATTGCTTTGCACTTCTGACATAGCGTTATTATTCGGTTCGTTGATCGCTTGTCATTTTGTCATTTGGAGATATTTTTGATTCTTTGATTGAGATAATATAATTTGGAATACCTTTTAGTTTTTTATTATGCACTGCATTAAGCGACATAATTCCTAGAAGAACTTCAGAAATTCCAAAACAGAAAATGTTACAGATCTTCGTCAAAATCGTCGATCTAGTAGGATCTGTTCATTTATTTAACAAAACCCCACACTACCCGAGCAAAGTCCAGCATCAAAATGAAAGCATATTGAAATCAAGTTTTGATATCAAAATCAAACTGAAATCCTAATTTGATTTCAGTTTATGCAATTGACAAATTTTGTTTTCATTTTGCTGTACATTTACTCTTCAAAAATATGTTGTTGCGGGTTTGATTTCATTGCCTTCCCGAGCAAAGTCTGAGATCAAATTGAAATCTTAATTAGATGTTGTGATTTCGCTGATAATAATTACTGAAGTTGCTATCGTTTTGGTCGTTTTAACGGTTAAAATATCAAAATTGAAAGCAAAAAAAATCTTTCTGTGCATCACATTGAAAACTGTTTCTGCTATCAGTGAGAGCAAACTGAAAACTAAATTTGATATCCATTTTTCCTGCTGATAACAAATCAAGTATTCAATTTGGTGATGAGGCATGGTGATGAGGCAATGAAAACAAACCCGCAACAACATATTTTTGAAGAGCAAATGTACAGTAAAATGAAAACAAAATTTGGTATCAAATTTGTCAATTGTTCTTCTTCTTCTTTCCTTTATTTAACGTCGGTCTCTGTTCCGCAATCTAGTGCCAATCACCGACGGACATCGATTGCCATCCATTGACAGCAATCGAATGTGCAGGAAGGCAGCTTCCACACCTGCGTAGGATATCGCACCCATTCAACACACATGGGCCGGGACTAACGGCTTTACTTCCCTTTCGAAAGGAAGACGTGACCAGAGATTTTTATGCCTCAGAAAAATCCCACCGACCTTGGCTGGGATTGAACCCAGACCCATTGGGGTGTTAGAAACCAGTCACGCTTACCACTACACCACCGGCGCCGGCAAATTTGTCAATTGCGTAAAATGAAATCAAGTTATGCTTTCAGTTTGATGTCGATATCAAAACTTGATTTCAATTTGCTGTCATTTTGATGCTGGACTTTGCTCGGATTAGCATAACATTAAATTGAATACTTGTTTGTTATCAACAGGAAAAATTGATATCAAATTGAGTTTTCAGTCTGCTCTCATTGATAGCAGAAATAGTTTTCAATGTGATGTCACAGGAAGATTTGTTTGCTCTCAATTTTGATATTTTAACCGTTAAAACGACCAAAACGACAGCAACCTGAGCAATCATTATCAGCGAAATCACAACATCAAATTTAAATTTCAATTTGATCTCAGACTTTGCTCGGGTAGTCTTCCTATTGTTAACGCAAGCTGTATGAAAAATGAAAATATGCTCACACAGTTCTTCTCTCACGACCTGAGAAAAACAACCTAAAAGATTCTTTCGTTCCTTCCACACTGAGAAGCAAACTAGCGCAGCCGTTTCATGACTGACTGGAATTTCATGGTTTGCAATAAAGTCTTATTAAATCCGGAAAATTACGACCGCAATAGCGTTCCTTGCTGAGCAACCGTGAAAACGGTAAAGGAAACACAATTTAAGGAATATGATACAAGCATAGCAATAGCAATAATAATTGCCTTGCAGGCATAAATATTGAAATCTCCCGAAAAAATTGCACCATGCGCTTACAACCTACATACCTACATTCGTTCATTCAAATCTATGTTGGTGAATCGTTTCGTGCGATTCAAGCCGAATAATAGATTAGGTCCTAAGTAACATTGATCGATTCTCTTTGTCGACTTTCTCCTTCGTTAATAACTTGGTTGCAAAACCGTTTCATGCCATGTTTGCTGTATGCTAGATGAGACGAAGAGAATATGCCAATGTTAGGACCCAATCCATTGTCCGGCTTGAATTGTTTTGTAACCGTGTCGTCTCCGGAAAGTGAGGTGTTCAAAATCAAGCTTGGAGCTTCAAAGGTTGGGAGGGACTGACTTTGGCGAGCTAAATCTGCAAATCAAAACCCGAGATGTCGCTCGGGAAAATTGTAAAAGCTTTCTAAAACTTTTTGGAAGTGGCATGAAAGGGTTCCCAGGTGAGCAACCCCGTATCTCTTTTTTTATTTTGTAACGCATTCATATGCATAAGGAAGGGAAATTATTACAACAATCCCGAGCCCCGTCCCAGCGCTGCCATAAATAAAAGCAATTGAGTTTGGCGCAGGAGAGCGAAAAAAATCCCTACTTTATTGCCGTGATATATGGCTGTTAATAAACGCTTGCGGTCGTTGCTTTTGCTGCTGGTGGGAGTGCAACACAATATTGTGCGCAGATATTTTAATAAAAATGAATTTGTTCCCCGTAAATTGACCTACCTGTCGAATTTTAATTTTCACCCGTGCCTTGCTGGCTTGACTTCGACTGGTTGAACCAATACCGCGGTCATTGGCCGTTACGGTCAATTCATGCAGGGATCGATCCGTGAATCGCAGTGGTCGGGTGAGCGTGATGACACCGGTCGTTGGGTGAACCGCAAACTGTTCCGTCTCATCCAGGATGCTGTAGTAGATTTCGCCATTTAAGCCTAGATCGGCGTCCTCGGCTATCACGCGGAGGATGCTTTTGTGTAGGGGGGTATCCTCCGAGATGGTGACGGAATATTCGGTTGGGTAGAACAAGGGGCTGAGATCGTTCGTGTCTAGCACCTTGACGTCGATGATGGTATCCGCCTCCAAGGATATCCGACTCTTGCCCTCCCGCTTGGTGGCAGTGGCCTTAACTTCCAACCGATAGCTGTCGCCCTTTTCACGGTTCAGCACCACATTGCTTGTGCGTAATCGGATAGCCAGGAATGCGAAATCCCCAACCAGCCGTTCTTCCGCTTTGAAAAACTTATCTTTATCCCCGCTGACGATTTTGTACTTGACGTCAAGCTCTGGACTTACGTACAGGCCCATCCGGTCCTCGTTCGGTGGTTGAACGGCATACGTTTTCCCGACGCTATTTTCCGGGATGGAAACGTTGTACACTGCATGAGCGAAATGAAAGCTGTACTTGGGTACCATAGAACCTTCATCCTGTTGCTGTTGCTGCTGCTGTTGATTTAGGGCTACATTCGAAATTGGAGCGGGGCTGCCTAGAGCGCGTGCTATCACTTCCGTCAGGGCCAGTAGAAGAAATGTGAATAACCGCGCTCGTGACACTCCGCCCACACCTGGGACCATCTTCGGCTAGCGTTAGCTCATGTTATGCTCTAGCAGCATCTGTGAAAGAGAAAGAGAACAGAACAACCCATTAGATGGTTTCAGTCTATCGGTGCGCGTAATATCGCTTAATTTTCTAACCATAAAAAGACTGTTATTTCAAAGTTTATTGCCACCCCGGTAGAAGGATATTTTTCTTGCCGCTTTCGCAATCGCGGTAAGCGGTCGGCTTTATGATTGCCCTAGCTTCCAAGCACACGCACACATCCCCCACCTCCCATCCCTGAATCCCGTGGAGCAAGATACGTAAATTTTCTGCAACTTAGGTTGGAGGTGTTTTGCAAAGCAAAAACGCCAACATAAATCACGTTCCCGCACAGTATTCTTGTGACGTTTTCTCGCCATGTTCGCGGCTGGTGGTAGACAGGCACTTTGCATCCTCGGCCGTGCCGTTGTAGTCCGCTTTTTCTAGCTTCTGGGTTCGTTGTATCATAAAATGTCCGAGCGACATGGGCAGAGAGTTTCGTTCATTATTTAAGGCTTCGAATGATTAATGCCATACGTCTCATAATTTTCATTTTCATGAAATGCAATTCCACTTAATTTTGTGCCGTTTGTGCTCCATGGTGACATATGTAGGTGATCAGGGTCATTTTGAACGAGAAAGCGTCGTCTCGTTGGCAGAGCCATACTCAGGGTATTGTTTTAGGTGGCAAACTCTTAGTTTTGCGCCCTGCCTTAGGCCGCATCTCATTCCATAAGGGGAATGTAAATGAGAAAGAGATATCGCAACAAATTCTCGAGTACTTTTTGAAATGGACCAATGTAACATTTACACCATATTAAGAGAAACTAAGTTGAAGATCGACATATTTGTTTTTAAACTGTTTTGGAACAAAACGTTTAATAAAACTATTTTTATCGTAATGAGTGAATAATAACGGTAAACTTTCAACATGAATGGTAAAATCGCATTTATTACGGGTGTTCAATAAAAAATGAGAATGATTTCAGTACCGCGCAGTGGGGCAGCGAGGCCATTCGCGTGGCCAAAACCTCTAGCGCCGTTGGTTTGCTTTCTACAGCAATACAATGTTCTACAAAGTTGCTCAATACTAAAAGCGCCATCTTTTGAAAGTTTCATATTAGTTCATTTTTACGCCACATAGGTGGCACTCGAGTGTATCTTTTGAATAGAGCATCCTAGCCGAATGGTTTTCAGGGCAAAGTTGTGTAATTTGAAGTGTTGAGAAATGTTGTCGAAAACATTGAAACTCTATGACTCACATTAAGCGAGATATTGGGCAATTAGGAAAACTAACCTCTAAAATTGCGTTTTTTTCTTTTTTTTTACCTATATACGTCAAATGTATATATTTTATACTCTGATAATTAACAAAATGGTTTGACTCATCCAATAAATACTCACTATTGTATATGCCATGCATTATTATATAGTTATAGTTAACATAAATGTCTCAAAAAAGTGATGCATAAAAATGTCAATTACTCAAAATATAACAAATTTTTTTTACAGTGATTAGTGTAGACCTTGTTGGGTAAAGTAACGACCACAGTTCAACAAGCAACTGCAGGCTTTTTAATATAACATTATTTGAATATTGCATATGGTAAATTCTTTCAAATTTGTTGAAATTTTGCTTTGTGTGTGAAACATGATAAGATGTTTTTCTAGTTTTCCTAATTGCCCGATATATCGCTTAATATAAGTCATAGAGTTTTGATGTTTTGGACAACATTTCTCAACACTTCAAATTACAAAACTTTGCTCTGAAATCCATTCGGCTAGAATGCTCCGTTCAAAAGAAAGACTCGAGCGCCACCTATGTGGCGTAAAAATGAACTAATATAAAACTTTCAAAAGATGGCGCTTTTAGTATTGAGCAACTTTGTACAACATTGTATTGCTGTAGAAAGCAAACCAACGTCGCTAGAGGTTTTGGTCACACGAATGGCTTCGCTGCCCCACTGTGTCTTGTGAGAGCATCGCGACTAAGTTGCGTCGTATGGCTGACCAGGGCCCCTTCTCCAATATTCATTGACGTTTTTTTGAAGAATAAACATTATGTTTTTAATAAAAAATACTGAATTCGTTGAATTTTTTTTACTAGCTGTATGACTGAAAAAATTTCATTTTTGATTGAACACCCGTTATATTGTAGCGCAAATAACAATATGGAAAAATCACATACATCGTATTGACTAGTCACGTTGTACTTCGGATATGTTACATGGGACGATTTTTCTCAATGACATAATAAATGAGCGATACATTGATCGTTTTGTTCTACATCATCTAGATTCCCTTTCACAGACTTCAGAATAGAGTACCTTACACCGGAAAAATTGACGGAACCTTTACTTATTACCTTAAATTGGTTTTCCAAGCTCCATCCTCCAAAAATGAGCACCGATCATGCTAGGTAGGCAAAATGGCCGAAGTAACAATCAATCACCCATCAAACTAAATTTGTAAATTTGGACAATTTGTTATCTACGATTATTTTAAACAATTGAAAGTTATTTTAAATGGATGTTTTGTAGCACATAGAATGATCAAAAAGCAATAGTTTGCATCGATTAACTCGATTTGTTTACATCTGTTACTTAACACCTGTTGAAAAAGAACTCGAGAATTCTCACTATTGCCCTCGCACCACTAGGTAATCTGGCGCAGGGCACATTCGAATATCTGCATTATGTCCGATAGTCAAGCAGAATTAGCAACATGCAATTCAAAACTAGTATCGGAATGTGCAATGACACTTCAAAAATTGGCCTGTCGAAACCAAGTAAAGCTAAATTGGGTTCCTGTCCACAGCGGAATTCAAGGAAATGAAAAAGCCGACACGTTAGCAAGGCTAGCATAATCCCAACAATTCATAGGAACAGAACCATTACGTGGAGTTTCTGCTTGTGGAACAATTGCAAAATTCTTGCAATGTCAAAGAAGGATCTCAGTGTCTTTACTGGTTTAATAACACGACATTCTCCATGTCATTGAAGCTAATAGGAAAACTTCAAGAGGATACGTGTCGATTCTGTGTCATTGAAAAGGAAGACTATGAACACCTGCTATGCTCTTGAACAGCAATAAGGGACTGGCAGAGCCCTTTGATATTTGGAATGCAGGTACCAGTCAAGTAATACATTTCATTGGAAAAGAAATACCTGGCAGGAAAAATGCTTTTGATCAGTCCATGTCGGTCGCTTCACATAATAGTGATACGACATACTGATAAAGCAATATACAAACGGGGAATGCAGTCATCTCTCTATAACTCGGTATTGAAGGGACCATCGAGTTATAGAATTATCGACTTATAGAATAAATTAAATATTTTTTATCGTCTATAATTTTAAGAATAATGCTGAAATACACCATTTACTGGAATATCCAACCTTATTTACTCATATGAATTCGGAAAGTGCTTCAAGGATCCATTGATTTATAATATAAAACAAATATGCACAAAACACGCAATAGGGCTGCCAATTCTTGAATTTTAATTTGTCTGGATATCAAAGGTTCTAATCATTTCTGGATATGGCTCTATCGCCCTGAGAGTGTCCGCACATAAATCCGAAAGTCATTAGCCCGAAGGGTGATTAGCTCAGACTAAAATAAATGTTGACGAGCTTCCATACACAGTTATATTTCAAGATTTTAAACACTTAGATATTTATTTTGTTCATGCTATTGGGGCTTTTTAAGAGATCTTGGACTGCAATTTATTTTTTTTTTAATTGAAGAAATTTCCTGCATTCGCAGGAATTTAAAAGTTTGACAAGTAAATAAAATGCAATGTTCAAAGTGTTTTTCAAACATGAGCAGTTCTTTCGAGTTTTACTGGTTTTGCGATTTTTTACATTACGAATGAAATATACCATCACATTCATTTTTCTTCTAAAGCTGCTCGTTCTTCCAAAAGCTGCCTCATACCAATCTATGTGAGTTTTTTTTCATTATTGAAGAATTTTAATGTAGTCCACTGAAGTTTCGAAGATAAGGGTTCGGCAATTTGGTAATTTTTAAGGATTCTTCCATCGTTTAAACATGAGTAGTTCTTTCGAATTTTACTGTTCCTATAATGTTTGGCTCAATTAACAAAATATGCAATCACATTTTTATCCTTCTTTTAAAAACTGATCTTAATTTTCCCACACCAATCTATTTGACAGACTGATATATAACTTTGGCTAAGAATTTCAGGGTGTCTTCTCATTTGGCGAAACATAATTACCTAATATTTCCAGGTATTTTTTTACAGGGCTGCAGTCACCCCAGTATTATGGGCCAGCTAGTAAAGAGCTATTATTTAATTCAATAAAAAAAATAATTTTTGGTAAAACAATAACCTGATTGGCACAAATGTTTTAAAGATATGATAATCAGTTTTAAGAGAACACACTTTACAATCAAAACTATTAAAAATTTAAGATTCACATTTACTTAATTTTAGTAACTCTAAGATCTAGAAAAAAGGAATATCTTAAAGTTTCGAATTCCAAGACCTAGTTCAAGATCTTGAAAATTTACAAAGTGCCAGATAAAAAAAATATTTCAAGGTCACAATCTTAAGGACTTACCGAAGTTTGGCAGTAAAAATTCCTTTGGTAGTTTTGGAACTTGAAAACTTATCATGTTCCAGAATCTTGACAATTTCTCCAGATATTTATTTGGAAATTTCCAGAATATTTTAAAATGAAACTTCCTGAGTCTAGACGATTTTTTTGTTTTTCAGGATCATCAAATTTTATAAACATGAAATCTCTGGATATTGATTTTGTTCGTCCAATATCTCTAAACAAAATTTGATGTTTTTTTCCCCTTAATTTGTATCCGTCGATCTTGTTTTCCGTACTGACGCCAAGGAGGCAACTCCCACACCTGGACCCTACATAACGACCCATCTACTCATGGACCGGGGACCAACGGCTTTACTTCCACCGTGATCAGAGATGTTATGCCTCAGAAAATCCCGACGACCCGATTGGGATTGGCCCTTTGCAGAATTCTATGTTGCAATCAACTTGAAAC